AATCACTCGGAGGTAGCAGTTTTACCTCATTTAAAATAATTTTGGAACTTCAAAAATTCGAATTAAAGCTTAATAATATGTATTTTCCATCGTTGATCACGAGTCTATGCTTATTTTTGATCGAGCACATCACTAATCCTTCTTAACCTCAAAAAACTTCGAAATGAAGCAGTTATGCTTTGTTTTTAATTGTTTAGAATGTGAAACAATTTAGCACAAATTGCAAATTTTTTTATCTTCACTACTGAATCATAACACATATGTATATTTTATAGGTAACATCACTGTTTGTCACTAACCTTCAAAAACTTTTTGATTAAGACATTTTACTTGGTCTTAAACCATTTTTGATCGTTCTATTATTCGTACCGTATAAAAAAAATCCAATATACTGATACATGTCTATTTGAAGAACAAAAGAAGTACTATTTGAGAAATATATTCATTATGTTGAAGAAATGATAAAAATATAACAAAAGTTTATGATTTAAAAAAAAATAAAAGGATAAAAATATAATGTCAGGAAGATTTTTGTCAACTAATTGACAGCGGTTTTTATTTTCTTAGCAATATTTGGTTATTGATAGTACTTGAGTTGCACTCGAGTACCTAAATGCAGTCAGGGTATTCTTGGATGAGACCTCGAAAGCATGAGCTTTAGAAACATTATTATATAGAAGATTAATATGGAAAACCTTATTTATGTTTAATATTTTTTTACCTCATCAAATGGGTAGCATATAATTATTAATTTATCAAATAAACAATAAGTTCTATAAAAAATTCAAAGCACGTAGTAGCACTTTCTTGCGTTACAAGCATATGCTGATTATAGACTTTGGTATTTAATAAAATTCTATTAGCTTGGTGGTAGTTCAGGTACGTGTTTGTTAGTAAAAAATTATTTTTCTCTAATAATTTGTTTGATGCGTATTAATAAAGTCATATGGATTGTTTTTTCATTAATTTCTTAATGCACATAGATCAGGGCATACCAATATGCAAAACAAAATCTACAGAGAAAAAATTTTTTTCACTAACAACCACGTACTTAAACTACCACCACGCTGATAGAATCTTATTAAATACTCAAGTCCAAAATCAGATTGCTTTTTAAATATTAATCCGTCAGCCATGTCACAGTCTTTTCTAGCAGTTCATCAAGACAGATATTATAATCCTTTCGGTAAGGAAGGGCATCAAGGAAAAAAGCTGCGACGAGTTTTCGAATCATTTTTATCTGAGCATCCTAATATTTCTAAGAAATCTCTCGTTTGTTCAAAATGAAGAAAGAAGAGTTATTCAAAGACTGTAAATTTATCAAACGATTTGATAGATGAAGGGATCTCTAGACCACCGGATAATGAAGGAGTTTAGTTAGCTAGAAAAATCTGTTTATCAAGAGAAGATAAATTGGAGCAATTAATGGATGGACTAAAAGAAAAATTTTTCTCTGTCAGAGAACGATCCATTGAGAGTCTCTATTCTGACAATTTTACCTGACTGTTGGACATTACGAGGTTTTTTGAAGGAGTTTAATGTTTTTTTGAGAATGGCTAAGAAGGCACGAGATTTAAAACATAAAGATGGTATTTTAGCAACTCCTGGTTGAAAAAAGGGTAAGGCATCACCAGACAGTACTGTTAATAAGGTTGTAGACTACTATGATAGTGATCATAACAGTAACGTTATGCCAAATAAAAAGGATGTAGTAAAAATTAAAGAAGGTGATACGATTGAACATATGCCAAAAAGATTGTTTTTATTAGATGTGAAGATTTGATACAAGAATTTTACCAAAAAACACCCTCAATTTCCAATCAGTTCAGTAAGTTTGCAGAGTTAAGGTCGAATGGTGTGTTTTAGCTAGAGTAGGAGGTACACACAGTTTGTGTGTGTGTGAGTGTGTGTAATACACCAAAATTTTAAGCCTATGTTTGATGGGTGCAATTTGATTGAACTAACAAAAGAATCGTACTATCCACTGCAAAATTATGCTGACTGCATTAAGTTTTTCCTTTGTAGGAATCCCAAGCTGGATTATTATTTAGGAATATGTCAGAAATGCCCAAGACTCTCAGATTTTCAGAAGTTCGTAACGTCTGTGCTTCTCAGTAATGATGTAGAGAATACTATTTACAGCGCTTAGCAGTCAACTGATAAGTAAAAATTAAAAAAAGATTAACTAAATTATAGTATATGACTTTGTACCGGAACTATCTCAGAGCCTTGAAAATCTGATACCACACTATTTTTTTTCTAAGAATAAATCACAATTTATAGAAGATCTGAAAAAAACTTAAAACCAAATAAAGGTCTTAAGAGATAGATTATTTGGAAAATGACGCATACGTAGCACAAAACGCTGCTCAGAAATTTCACTACAACAATGACCAGTGTTGTATACATGTTGCTGTTGTTACATCGGTGCAACGTACTATTCGAGTCTAAGCTTTCGCTTAATAACTCGGGACTCGCACTGGGCGCGTAGGTAGTTATATTTCTTGTCTGAGTATTTGAAAGGGGGCGAGGGCGGCCGTGCCTTTGATCAAATCAAAGCCGTTGTCGAGCAATAATGCGATGCACTCGTTCGCGGAGTGCCTCGGATTTATCGAGAATACCTTGTGCAATCTGTCGAATAGTATCCCGTTCACGATCCAGAGGTTACCAGTATGTACCGTAACGAGCAAAGGTAGTTACACTTTAGAGTTTACGCAAGGCGGTAAAAAGTTCGCCACCGGTCCAGGATCCACCAGTACCATCCGGAGTAAATGTGATTGCCCTAGACTTTAAGTGAGGAATAATTCTTTTATTTAATCTCATAGCGTGGTATTTTACCGATACCGAATTTCGAACTCTAAAAAAAACACGTCCGCGTTGAAACTGAGAGGAAAAAAAGACTTGTCACTTTAGTATTTAAATTTGGCTTACTTTTATTTTCGGTATAAAACGTACAGCGAACCGAACCAGCGCGAAGTGTCCGAGATCGAAGATTTAAAACCGCACTCGTGAAAAACCGTGGGATATCAGAGGCGGACTCTAACTATCTAGTCAACCGTTCGAGGGTGAAATTGAACTGTAACTTTCCTCACTGTGCCTCCAGGCTCTTTTTATAAGAAGTAGCGGACCTTAACCACGCGCTGGCTGAAAAACGACGCAGGAAAGCTTGCCGCCGAAAATTTTGGGGGAAAAGACAATAGCCGAAGATCTAATTGGCTGGAGTTGCTCTAGTTTAGCCACTCAAAGTTGGCACTTCCCTCCTCTGGCTAGCTTTCCTACATGCGTCGAGAGAGGTAAAGGTGATTCACTCATTTGCACCTTTCCTTTCTCTTTTACATCAAGATTTTACATATTTTCCATATTATTTAATATTAACCTTAGGATGACATATTGCTAAAGTTCACTTAGACTAAGCATTAGTCGTTTATTCAATCAAATTTATTGTAACAAGAGCGGTGAAAATCACCGAATATTTCATGTAAGTTCTAACTGAATAATCGTTCACTGCGTCGCTATATCAATAATAAGGTTAGTAATAGTATTTGTAATTTTTACACATTAATAACTATAATAGTTACTAAAGTTGTCAGGAAAAGGGGAAGGGGCTATTGTTGACTGTTAGCTCAACTTTCCCGCTTTCCTTTACATATTGAAAAGTAGCAACATTTGTCCGGATTACAAACATGAGGTTTTTGTCAATGGTATAAAAATTCTATGGTGTAAGAGGGTAGCTTGGCAACTCATGTATCAAAAACTGATAATGCCGCTCTGTTAGGTTTACAGTAGTTAACATTATTACTCATATTGTGGTTGCTTGTCAACTATACATTAACTTTATCATAGTCTACTTGTCTTAGTTCTTATCTACCGGTGGAACTGTTCCTAGCTAACCTTTTGCATCTGTTAGTTCTTTAAGGTTATTTTATTATTTTGCGCTTTCAAAAGTATTTCATTTGATTTCTTTTCCGGTTAGCATGGGCCAGTGTGCATGTATGTGAGTTATGCATGGTCGTAGTACCTTTGCTACGAGCAATCTTGTAGGTAATTCACCTCTTTTCAGAAACATATGGGCCCGATGTGTAAAATTATCTTTGTGATATTAATGTATATAAATGAATGTATTTAATTAATAAATGAAGAAAAAAATGTCCATGGAGGTAAAAATTAATGGCAGATAAGCTGTTGCAGACACAATAGCCGTAGCTCAAAGTACTTCGTTAATTAATAGTTCTAGTGATTTTTCAGATTGTCAGAGATTGGTGTCAACTCAGACCAAGGCAGTGCAGTTTGCTCAAAAATCTATTATTAAACGTAAATTTCATTACCACGTTTTTTAAAAACTTACTCCATAAAATAGAGATCAGAATACTTAGCTTTAAAAGCTCTTACTCACAGAAGGCCCTAGATACAAGGTAATCTTTTAATTTTTTAAATGGTAAGTAGTTGGATTTTTTTGAAGCGAAGCTTTTTTATGTAGGGCCTTTGTTAGACGAAAGTATAGGAAAGCGTCACACTTTTTCTTGCCCCCTTTTTTCTTTTTCGTTCCCTTATCACCGCATACTCTCTCGATAGTAAGAAGTACAGTATAACGTATAATAAATGCATGTAGTGGCACGTGCAAGGATTGTTAACCTAACTCCCCATGATTAAAAAATGTACTAACGTTTTAACAAACTGATTGCGCGTAAAAAAATGAACAAAATAAGCCCCGAATGGTCAACGCGCAAACGAAATTGTTGAAACAATGGATTAAATCAGTTCGGGTGCCGTTGTATTGGAAACACGCGTCAAACAACATCAAATGATGATTTTTTTCTAACCACGTACACATAAATCGATAGATTTTTTTACGCGCAATCAGCACCCGATGGTCTTTTTTACGCACAATCGTTTTTTGGCGTGCAATCATAAAAAAACTGATATACCCCGTGGACCGCTTCGAACCTTACCTAACCCAACCTCGAATCAAAACAAACGTATTCGTACGGGTCTGCTTCTGCTTCATGCTACAGTATATACTTCCACAATCAAGTGTAAAAGCGAAATTTAGTGTCAAGAAGCATATATTTGCAATGTTTAATTGACAAGCGAGTGCCTTTACAAGTGTTTTAGCTCGTGTGCAGTTGATATCATGGAACTAGCCATGGACTATGCTAGCACAGTATTGATTAAAACATCCCTGCTAAGTTTTGTTAAAACATCTTTGGAACAATCGAGTATATAAAGGCATCTTAATGAGGTTTATACTCAAGTCTCGTCATGGAATCTTGACACGCAGTGAGTGTGAAGCTGATACATAACATCAAACAAGTGAAATTTTTTTTGTGTAATTTATTTCATTTATCGTAGACCATTATCTGATCACACATCAAGGTTGCAAGGCTAAACTTTGTAACGGTAAGGGTCATGTAATTCATTGGTTTTTGTGCATTTTATTTGTCTGAAAGTTTTGACTTCTTATTCTGTTTTACCTTTCAAGAGAGTCTGGTGTATAAAGCATCATGGTTGATGTATTATCTTGCTCCTTTTGCATGTCATCATTGGCTGTAGTAATAAGCCTACTATGTCATCAGCACTGAAGCCACTACATCTAGTAAGTAATTTATCCTTACACTAACTCTTACTACTTTTTCCATTGGCTTGTTTGATTATATTTGATTAAATTTTTTTTTTCTGACAATGAAATACTTTACCTTGGCATGTTAATCATGTTTTTCACAGCTTCGGTGACTTCTTCACTCAAACAAGGATTTTAGTACATATATGTGTCATATTGAGTATGAACGTCTCATCAGAACCCATTGTAAGTATACGAATAATTTACTAATAATACAACTAAGACAGCTAAGTTCTGAAAAATTCAATGATTAAGAAATCTCAGCTTTATAACGTTTTTTTTTTTTTTTTT